ATAAAGTTGCCTAAATGTTTCCTATGTGCTTACCTACCATGCGACATGTTTTAAACTTCTCCACTAAGTGGGACCAGCACTGGGCAAACCAAGTCAGCTGTGTGGTAGCACGGGCTTGCGGGGCTTCGACGGGGTGGCACCACAACTTCACTTGGCGTACCCCTTTTCCAGAAAATCACTTCATCTGAAAACATTTATCCCCAGGATGATCAAGTTGAACACATTCGTACAGCGTTATGATGTCAACGAATAAAGTCAGTTGATCAGATGAAAATGCTGGGCCCCCCCGATGGCTCCCAAATTATCCTGTTCCCTACTTGTATGTTCCCACAATAAAAATGCTTTCAAATGACTGGTAGGTAACGCTAAGAGCGTTAATGCTTTTCAATAAAGCTAGGGACCTTAAGCTAACCTTTTCAAACCCGTGATAAAAAAAAAAAAAAGGGGGGAGTAACAAAACTTTAAAAAACTGAAATTTTTGGGAGCTATTTGAATCTTTGCTGGATGTAAAGAAACATTAATACAATAAAAAAAGCTAAATAGGGTAAATCAAATTTATAAAAAAAAAAACTTTTTTTTACAGGGATAAGCATTCAAACTGATTTTAAAAACTCAAGATCACATTATGAAAATTTAACGCAGGGAAAAAAAACCTCAAAACTTTTGTTTTTCCTACAATATTTCTCTAACCTTTCCTTGCAAGTGCCCCCTCTAACATGAATGTGGATAAAGAGGGCAATAATGATAATCAATAACAATAATGCAGTTACAAAGAGAACCTATCACTGATGATTTACTGCATATTTATACATGTCTTTACAAAACACAAGGAAATCAACATATACAAAACACACAACCATATATTTTCATAAGTAAAGGTGTAGAGTACATTCTACTTAAATTCTCATTTATAAATCTAAACCTATAATGCTGTACATTCTGAAGTAAATAATACACTTTCTTTGTCCTGACAATTTTTTTTACTCAAATGTATGACACCCAATAATGAACCCAGCATAATATGTACAAGTACTAACGAATCAACCAATGGCTATTTGCAATCCAGCTTTTTTTTTTTATCACCCATGATGGGTGAGAAATGGCTGATGGTGAAGAAGAAAACCAAAAAAAAAAGTCATATATAAACTATAAATACTATAGAACAAAAAGTAAGTCACAATACTGTGGATGAAACAGTTCATAAATTATCAACACTTTGGAGACTTAATTCAAAATGAATCTCTGTCAGTTATGATATCATATTATGCAGAATGTTGGCCAAAATGCATTACACAGTGTCATGCTTACAACAGGTCAAATCCAGTTTTAAAGAAATTACATAAAATACTGGCAGAATACCTGGGGAACCTCCACAGTTGCTGTTTATGTGACCTGCAGCCATTTGGCAGTCAGCAGATGAATTCTAATCCCTGCTGTCACTCCTAGGGCACCATAATGAAGATTTTGTCTGCATGTAGGAAAAGAAAAGGCAACAGTCCTAACACACCAGTGATTTGTGCCTAGCAATCTAAAAACAACTTTAATTTGTATAGCACCTAGCACACAGAAACAACTAAGATTTGTAAGTAGAATTCAGGTAGATGTGGGTTCAAATCCCAGTTACTCATGGGCTATTCTACAGTGGAACCCTGAGTTTCGGCTGCTTTGAGTTTAGACTGCTTTTTTCGGGTAAGTTTTGTCCCGAGTTTTGCCCTGTGCCCCGTGTTTCGGCCGGCTATACCAGACCTGTCAGCCTGCCCACTCCTGCGCGCCTACCTGTGCAGGCGTCGTGAGCCAGTTTAGCTTTGTTTATCCTTGAGTGAATATTACCCTGCACGCTCATCCAAACATTTCACAATAAATTCATAACTTTCTAGTGGCAGCCCTTTGGTAAAGAAAGTGAGAAACATGATAGAATTGAAGAAAGAAATTGTAGCAAAGTACCAAAGTGGAGGAGGAAGAGAGAAGGGAGAAATGCCTTCTTCAGTGATTCTACGATATGTATGATACTAAGGCAGCACGAGTCGATAAAGGCTATAGCGCCAGCCAGTGATAAAGTGTAGAATTAACAGTGTAGCAAGTAAGTTAAGCGATTAAGCGATAGAAAAATGACAACACGAAACTTAACTCCTCCATTGCTGTTTGATGTATATGTTTAGGGTGACTGAAAACACCGCCGCCTCTGCTGCCGCTTATACTTATGCTCTCAGTGACCCTTATACACCCAACAACAACACAACACTTCTCGTGACATACGTAATGATGTATTTTATTCATTCTAGAGTACCGTATGTCATGTATCTATGTTATTATTATTGTTTATTATGTCATATTAGATAAATTGTGATAGATAAATAAGCTGCAGAGTTGATATTAGTGTCATATTGAAGGACTATCTTGTCTTGCCTCCAATCAAACTCTCCTACCTCTCTCATATGCCGACAAGAGTCTTCAATGAAGGTAAAACTGAGGCAGGGTGACCCAAAAAGAAAGAAAATCCCCAAAAAGAAAATACTTTCATCATCATTCAACACTGTCACCTCACTCACACATAATCACTGTTTTTGCAGAGGTGCTCAGAACACAACAGTTTAGAAGCATATACGCATAAAGATACACAACATATCCCTCCAAACCGCTAATATCCCAAACCCCTCCTTTAGAGTGCAGGCATTGCACTTCCCATTTCCAGGACTCAAGTCCGGCTATATAAAAATAACTATTATAATTATTATTGGTGTTATTAATTTAGGAAACTGAAGCTCTATTATTATTATAATTATTATTAATTAATCATAGAATTGATGAGGGAAAAAAGGTGAGTGGTGCGTTGAGGTATATGTGGAGTCAAAAAACGTTATCTATGGAGGCAAAGAAGGGAACGTATGAAAGTACAGTAGTACCAACACTCTTATATGGGTGTGAAGCTTGGGTGGTAAATGCAGCAGCGAGGAGACGGTTGGAGGCAGTGGAGATGTCCTGTTTAAGGGCAATGTGTGGTGTAAATATTATGCAGAAAATTCGGAGTGTGGAAATTAGGAAAAGGTGTGGAGTTAATAAAAGAAGTAGTCAGAGGGCAGAAGAGGGGTTGTTGAGGTGGTTTGGTCATTTAGAGAGAATGGATCAAAGTAGAATGACATGGAAAGCATATAAATCTATAGGGGAAGGAAGGAGGGGTAGGGGTCGTCCTCGAAAGGGTTGGAGAGAGAGGGTAAAGGAGGTTTTGTGGGCAAGGGGCTTGGACTTCCAGCAAGCGTGCGTGAGCGTGTTAGATAGGAGTGAATGGAGACGAATGGTACTTGGGACCTGACGATCTGTTGGAGTGTGAGCAGTGAGCACCTCTGCAAAAACAGTGATAATGTGCGAGTGTGGTGAAAGTGTTGAATGATGATGAAAGTATTTTCTTTTTGGAGATTTTCTTTCTTTTTTGGGTCACCCTGCCTCGGTGGGAGACGGCCGACTTGTTGAAAAAAAAAAAAAATATTATTATTATTAATTAAGGGAACTGAAGCTCTATCGTTGTTATAATAAAACAGTAGACCGCAACTGAAGAATTGCAGCAAAATTTTATGCAACACGTCGTATAATTAATTTAACATGGTTCAGTTTGTGGGAATGAAAAACAAAAATTCTCTTTTGCTCAAGCAGCTGCCTTGTTGTGTAGCAGCTGGGGAGCCCTCCCGCCATCCCCTGCCATTCCCTGACACCACCCCACCATCCCAGCGTTCGTAATTCATACGTGTCCAGTCCGGTCTTTCTCTGCTACAAGGCCGCTATATTTGTGAATTGTGTTATATTTTAATTACTATATCTTGTATCTGCCAAGAATCATGACACCCAGTAGCTATACCAGTGTTGCTGAAAGTGGCATGGAGAGGTATAAGCACTTAAGTCTTAGAATTAACAAAGAACAAAGATATTAGACAAGAGATAACCTGTAGCCATAATGAAGTGTTACTTTGTACACAGAAAAAGAGGTAAGCATGAGTTTGTGTGACTGACTTACTGAATGACATGACCGACTTACCGAGTGACTTGACTAATATTATTATTATATTATTATTATTCCTCCATGTGGAAGTGGAGCAGAATTCTTCCTCCGTCAGCCATGCGTGTTGTAAGAGGCGACTAAAATGCCGGGAGCAAGGGGCTAGTGACCCCTTCTCCTGTATAAATTACTAAATTTAAAAAGAGAAACTTTTGTTTTTCTTTTTGGGCCACCCTGCCTCGGTGGGATACGGCCGGTTTGTTGAAAAGAAGAATAATTATTATTAATAATTTAGGGAAATGAAGCTCTATCGTTATTATTATTATTAATTTAGGGAACTGGAGTACAGATCCAATTCCCAAGATCAAGAGCCCCTCACCAACATCAAGGAACCTTGATGCTGATGAGGGGCTCTTGATCTAGGGAATTGGATCTGTGCTCTAGTTACTTAATAATAATAATAATAATAATAATAATACAGTGGACCCCCGGTTTACGATATTATTTCATTCCAGAAGTATGTTCAGGTGCCAGTACTGACCGAATTTGTTCCCATAAGGAATATTGTGAATTAGATTAGTCCATTTCAGACCCCCAATCATACACATACAAAAGCACTTACATAAATACACTTACATAATTGGTCGCATTGGGAGCTGATCGTAAACCGGGGGTCCACTGTACTAACAATAATAATATTATTTTTTTTTTTTCAACAAGTCGGCCGTCTCCCACCGAGGCAGGGTGACCCAAAAAAGAAAGAAAATCCCCAAAAAGAAAATACTTTCATCATCATTCAACACTTTCACCACACTCACACATTATCACTGCTTTTGCAGAGGTGCTCAGAATACAACAGCTTAGAAGCATATACGTATAAAGATACACAACATATCCCTCCAAACTGCCAATATCCCAAACCCCTCCTTTAAAGTGCAGGCATTGTACTTCCCATTTCCAGGACTCAAGTCCGACTATATGAACATAACCGGTTTCCCTGAATCAGGGAATTATTATTATTTTTATTATAATAACGAATGCTGGCAACTCAGTGCATTGTTTACCTCGCTGTGGGAGCAGTTCTCTCCTATTTTGCTTACATTTTTAACAGTCATCTGGCCAAATTTCGTTTTTCTAAGCATGGGTCTTAAGAAAGTAAGTGTAAAGAACAGTGCTGAGAAGAAAAAGAGAATGATTTCCATGGAATTAAAGCATGAAATCATAGATAAACAAGCGAGTTGTCCAGGTTTTGCGTTGAGGGGGAAGAGGGGGGGGAGCTGGCTCGTAACTCAGAGCACAATATCAACCCAGGGATGGCTCGTATCTCAAAAAACTTGTACGTCAGGACACTCGTAAGTCAAAGTTCCACTGTATATATTAAATTCTAATTTCAAATGCAAGGTTAATACAATATGTTCCTTTCACTTAAAGAAAATGGTATGCCAGTTAACTTTCAAAAACAGGGATATATATCCTTCAAGAACACACAATTCCTGATGCATTACAAAGAATGTCTAATACTATATAGTGTAAAAATTATCTACAAAAAGTATTATTCCTCCACTATGCATACAGAAATCAGAACCTGCATATTGAGATAAAAGATTCTGAAGTTTCAAGGAATACTTATGAAAAAATTAAACTATTAATCCTATTAAATGAACTCTGTAATTGTAACAAACAAATATCCTTTCAAGCTATGGTATTTCAGCAGGTACCCACCAGCTGAAAACGATGACTTCACTTGTTAGATACATGCTCACACATTAAACGTACATGTTTACAATGTAAACGTGCACATGCTTAATGTATACAATGACTTTACTTGTAAGATACATATCCACAAATTAAACATGTACATTTGTACCTTGTTACCTTGGCTTCACTTGGGAGTTAGGAAACTTGCATCTCTGTTCTTATTAAACATTCTTAACATGGAGATTAAAGCTCAATTTTTACTCTGAAATGAAAAATCAGGTTTTATGCTATGTTCTTTCATCTTTGCACTTACTAATTTGGCCAAATTAAGGAAAACATAATTGTTAAAATTAATAATAAAATAAAGAAAACAGTTTTCAGCCAAGTGTGTGTCCCTGACCACGAAAAACTCCTCCACCACCTCCTCCTCCTCCTCCTCCTCCACCCCCACCTCCTCCACCTCCACCACCACCTCTAGGAGCAGAAGGTGCACGCCCAAACCCTGAAACAGCTCCACGCTGATTTGGAAAGTAGTCATACCTGAAAAATATAAGCTTGACTAGATACTGCATAGTTTAACTGCATTAATGTAAACAAAGTATACTTCCAATCTAAATAATTTCCAATCCAAATGATTTCCTATCTAAATAATCAGAACAACCTAATTTTATGAATTAATCTTACAATACTAATGGCTTCATCTTTCTCAAAAAAAAATTTGACAGTTAATAATGGAATAACATTGAAACATTTATGACACTCCTTTAATGCAGTCTGATAATCTTCGAAATCTCACATTTTGACATTACACTCCACAAATATCTCATCCCTCCCTATACTAAACATTTGTTAAGATATTTACAATGTCTTATTATTCTAATATTACTAGTGAAAATATATAGTACTTAGTACCATAATGTAGCATGCTTTGAGATTTTAGCATAGGGCAGAATTCTCATAATGTTTAATGTTAAACAGAAAGGCTTATAAGGCTACTCACAATATCTGAGGGGTTTGCAAAAGTGTGGCTCCACCAAAGTCTTGTGGATACTTAAAGGTAAGGAAGAAGTATAGATGTCCAACAAGGATTCCCACTAGCTCCATCATACCTCTTTTAATGAAAAGAAAATATATTAAATAAGAAAAAAAAAAAACATTCAGTAGGGGTTCAAGATACAAGAATACACAACATCAATTCCTAATTTACTTAAACTTACTAGCAGTTATGAATTATATATCTGGATATTAAACCAGGTACCATTAACTCCTTAGCCCTTTCACTGCAGTTTCTCCAAATTAAGAGCCCCTTTTGTGTCGCAATTTAAAAAAAAAAAAATTCTGAAAAAAGTGCGCTCATTATTCTGATGGTAATGAAACAATGAAAATAGTGGATGGCTCTATGCACACTACCAAGTCACATGCAGCACTGCATAAAAACTAATCCTTCACAGACAAATAATTATGATTATCACCTGTATCAAATCAATTACATTAAATCAAACTTATCATAACTTTTATCATTACTACTCACATCTATGTCCAAACCACAGGAGAATATTATTTTTCACTAACTCTATGGATGCACTGAGAATGTGCTGATGCCTGAAGTAGATAGTTGTGGGTTACTGGGGTTCTCAGTTCCAGTGCTATTCTTGTCATTTTCCCCCAGTCATTTTCGGTTACTCTCTCCATGAATCCATAGAACTTGGCTTCATAATCTATATCCTCAGTAGTGAAAGTGTCACTGTTGAATAGTAAGTGCTTAAAGCACTTAGGGCTAAGAGCATCAGTTCAGCAAGCCATGGTGATCAATGGTGAACATGGCATTTCCATGATGTACTGTGGTGTCCCAGATATTTTTTTATATATTGTGCACACTGACCACACAAATCCATTTACTCATGCCTGGACCTAACAGGCCTTCTGTGCAAATCCGAAGATGATTCTAGTGTAGATCTATGTAAGCGACAACAGCATCAACAGCGAGTGACAATGAAAGGGCTAAACATATTAAAGAAATAGTTTAAAGACATACAGCAAAGTGTCTTCTAGGGCTAAGTAATAAATTATGAGAAAAGACATGCTCAGTTCCACACAGGAAATATTACTCTATTCATGGAGTGCTAAAGCACTGTGGGTTATACAGTGATGAACATAATGGGTGAGCTACATGGAGACTGAATGAAGTAGAAGTAATGAATTTAATTAAAAGGTTAAAAGAAGTTATAGTCAGTGTGGTAAATCAACTTCAGTAAAACAAATTCAGAGAACTGGCATGAAAGGTGTGATTGTTGGAGACGAGGGAGGGGAAAGCATGAATGTCAGGGTGTTGAAGGAGAGGTCAAAAGTGAAACTGGCATGCATTCTGATGAACTGGAAAAATCAAGAGAAATTGAACATCACCTTTTCCAATTTTCACAAGAGTGCCATCAGGTACCCCTCCATGAGATGACAATGTACGAAACTAATGTGACCAATAGGTAGGTGTAAGGGTTGTTTACAATAATTGACAGTGAAAAAATTATTTTATAACATTATATAATAGTCCCCCCTATATACATACATAGATTTGTTATATTCAGGTGGCAAAAGTAACTGAAGGTGGGGAGATCTTGCTCAATGGTATGGCAGTCAAAATATATACAAGTGTATAGTATTAGCAATAAAGAATTCAATTTTACACTTTACTTTTCAGTACAGGGAACTGATAAAATACTGCAGATTGCTTTGAGACCAGCTGTAAAAATATGGATATACCATAGTATTTATTCAGTATCCAGCAGATATAGGACATTAGTATGCAAAAAAGACTCTGGCTTTTCAGTGCATGAAGAAGTGAGCTTGGTGAAATGTTGCACAAATAAAAGACTCCTCTGCATCTGTGTCCGTTTCATCAACTATCGGCACTGTCTCCACACCATATACGAGTGTTGCATCAGAGTGGAGACAAGCAGTTTTTGGAATCTGACAAAATGCTGGAGTGTGAGCAAGGAAATTTATGAAGGGATATGGGCAAGATGGTTAGGTGGGCTTGAGTTCGATTGGACGAATGGGGATGCTGCAGTTCAGAGGGACAACTGAATTGTACTGTCTGTACATGGTTGGCAAAACAACTACACTAAAGATACCCAGATGTTGTACACGTGTCTAATTTTCATCATACTGTCTATACACGTGGAAAGGTAGCTACGAAAAGCATGATGGATCATCCAGGCTTGGTGGGAAATGGCAAGTGTTAATTTTTATTTTAGATAGGTACACAGAATGACATGCAGCTAAGAGAAATATGAACTTCTCAAGACAACAAACATCTGACACTTACCCTCCAAGAATGATCATGTTGAATATTGTGAGGACCCAGGGCAGATACATGGCTTTGAACTGTGTGCCAAACCAAAAGGTTACTATAGTGTCTTTATTGAGCTGACACCAAACGTAGAGGACAACCATTACCATGGGATCCATCAAGTAGAACATTTCTCCCAGCAGTCCCACAATCACACAACAGATCCAGGTAAACAACAGCATGAAGAGGTAGTCAGCTGGTCTCCCAGAAAATATACCTATAATGAAAAAGAAGCATATAATGTGATTAAATATTGTCCAGAAGTGTAATTAGAGGAAAGTTCCAAAGATTAAAATAAGAATAGTATAAGGAGAGTAGAGAATGAACAATAAGTCACAATACTATGAATGGAACTACTTTAACTAACCTACCAAGTATTCTATACACTTACAACATCTGCCACATTGCTTCCCTATCCACCTGCTCATATGTCTTTTCTATATCCATAAATACAACAAAAACTTCTTTAGCCTTATCTAAATTTTGTTCACTTGTATGCGTTAATGTAAACACTTGGTCTACACATCCTCTACCCTTCCTAAAACCTCTCTGCTCATCTGTGATCCTGCTCTCTGGCTTGCCTTAATTCTTTCAATAACTTTACCATACACTTTACATGGTGTACTCAACAGACTTTTCTTTTTTCCAACACACCGGCCATTTCCCGCCAAGGCCGGGTGACCCAAAAAAAGAAACATTTTCACTATCATTCAACACTTCACCGTCATTCAGACATAATCACTGTCTTTGCAAAGTTGCCCAGATATTACAATTTAGATGTCACTCCAAACAGTCAATATCTCAAACCCCTCCTTGAAAGTGCAGACACTGTACTTCCCACCTCCAGGACTCAAGTTCAACTAACCAGTTCCCTGAATCCTTTCACAAAATATTACCCTGCTCACACTCCAACAGCTCATCAGGTCCCAAAAACTATTCGTCTTTATTCACTCCTAACATGCATGCTCTCTGACAATCTCTAGGTACGTCCCCCCTTTCATACATCTACTGAACAAATACACTAACCTCTACAAAACCATATCCCACTTGCTTTTAACATTTTTGTCCTGATCCAATCAATCCCAGCTGCTTTACCCCTTTCATTATATCCACTGCTTCATGAACTTTCCCCACACTCACATCTGGTTCTTCCTCACTCCAAAAGTTATTATACCTCCCTGCACACTGCATGAAATCACTGGCTACCTCTCTTCATCAACATTTAACAGTTCCTCAAAAATATTCCCTCCATCTTCCCAATACCTCTACCTCATAATCTAAAACTTCCCTCTTTTGTTTTTAACTATTAAATACATTCATACCCAAGGCTTTCTTCAAATATCATCATTGTGAATCAGAATATTTAGCAATCAACTATATAAAAAATTGGTAGGCAAGGTGATATTGTCAATGCTCACACACAGAGTACATTTCCTGTTATGTTTAACCCTTTGACTGTTTCGGTAGTATATATACGTCTTACGAGCCACCGCGTTTGACGTATATATACTCATAAATTCTAGCGGCTTCAAATCAAAACAGGAGAAAGCTGGTAGGCCCACATGTGAGAGAATGGGTCTGTGTGGTCAGTGTGCACCATATAAAAAAAACTCCTGCAGCACGCAGTGCATAATGAGAGAAAAAAAACTCCGACCAGTTTTTTTTACTTAAAATGCTGACTTTGTGGTCTATTTTCATATAGTATTTATGGTTGTATTCTCGTTTTCTTGGTCTCATTTGATAGAAAGGAAAACATATTACAGAAATAGAGGTGATTTTGATTGGTTTTACTATGAAAAGAACCTTGAAATGGAGCTCAAAGTAGGGGAAATGTTTGATTTTTGCCGATGTTTAAAAGTAAACAAATGATGTCATTTTCCAATAAATGTCCAAGTAGCCATTCTAATATGCAGTCATGAATGGGTTGACATTATTTGTACAATTATTACAATATTGCAGTAGTCTGCAAAGCAGTAAATCTTCTATTTTTTGCTTGAATAAAAATTCAAAATAGAAAGGAAGAGTAATATCAGAGAGGCCTGGAGACATAACTGATGAACAAAGAAAATGTTATTTTAGAGCCAGGAAGGTCTGCAATGCTCATTCTGGACTTTATTATGAAATTGTCATATTTTTTAATTTTAGTGAAATTGGCCAAATTGCAAATTTCTGACCACATTATTGGGTAGTTGAAATCGGTAAATGGGCAATTTCTTGTACTCAATCGATAGAAAAAATGGAGTTCTAAAGAAATAGCTATGAGTTTGGTCGACTGGAACAATGGAATTAGCCGAAAATAGGGCTCAAAGTGGGCGAAATCACCGATTTGTAAATATCGCCGAGGTCGCTAACTTCGCAAGAGTGTAATTCCATCAGTTTTCCATCAAATTTCATTCTTTTGGTGTCATTACAATCGGGAAAAGATTCTCTATCATTTCATAAGAAAAAATTTTTTTTTTTTTTTGGGAAATTTTGTGACACCAGGAGACACCTCAGGATTGGGGGTTGCAACAGTCAAGGGGTTAAATAACCCTTCCCTTTTTAAAAGTGTGGACAGTATTTTCTGCCATAAAATGATCTAGCACAGAGTCACTGACTTAGGTTAACAGTATGTATGCTTTATGCTTACATTAATCCAATTCCAGAGTATTTCACTCAACAAATCTGTGGCAGGAAGCTACCATCATAACACATTTCCAGGCCACCGGGTGTCCAATGGCCTGCAAATTCATGAAAGAAGAATTCTATTCTTGTGAAGAGTGAACTGAATATATGTACTTTTGGAACCTAGTTTCCAAATACAGTACATGCCATCACATTCCTATCAGAGAAACAAATATGATGACAGTGTTGTGCACACAAACCATCAATTACATCAAAAAATCTTTTATAATAACTAATTATTGAAGCTCTGAAAAAAATAATGAAAAATATAGCTATATACAAATTTTTATATTTACCTGTTTCTAACCTGAGAGAGTAGTTATACAGGAAATAGCAGTTAAGAAGAAAATGAAAGCCCGTCTGTGGGGTTATGGGGTAGTAAAACAATGCCGTCACAGGCCTCCATAACTGTGAAAGAAACATTTTGTTTTTGAAATGCAAATTTATAAATCATACAGTAATGGGAGTGGTAAGCTGTCTAAAACAATCATTAATACAAGAAACTACTTGCCATTTCATTACAAAACTTATGCATTTTTTAATCTTTAAACATTGTACCCTTAAAGCATTCTTATTTATATTCCTTAAAGAAGACCAAATAATACTGATAATCTGAGTTACAGTATTACAATTTTCTCACCTGAAAACTCTGAAAGATTTCAAAGGTCAAAATTACCCAACGAGGGTTGATTAGCCGAAATCGACCAAGTAGTGATAAGCCAATCGTACCCCCGAACCAAGTTTGGTCAGCGGGGGTATGTTATTAAACCACGCACCAATGTCACTCATTCTGTCACTGATGGTCACCAAAACAGCTGCAAAGAGAAGAGTATCAATATATTTACTTCAATTAAACCTATACAGAAGGACCCTGCTTTACAGCATTTTAAGTACAGTGGAATCCCGAGTATTGGCCGCTTCAAGTTTCAACCACTTTTTTCGGCTAAATTTTATCCCGAGTTTCAACCATTGCCCCGGGTTTCGGCCGGTGTACCAGACCTGTCCGCCTGTCCGTGCCTGCGTGCAGGCGTCGTGAGCCAGTCTAGCTTGTTTATCCTTGAGTGAACATTACCCTGAGCGCTCATCCGAACACTTCACAATAAATTCATTGTGTTTAGTGCTTGTTTATTAATTGTGATTGTGAAATAAGTCACCATGGGCCCAAAGAAACTTCATAGTGGCAGTGAGGCAGTGATTGAAAGTAGGCAGCAGGGAGAGTGGAGGCAGTGGTTGAGGCAGTGGTGGAGGCAATGGCTGAGGAAAGGTGGGGTTGAGGCAGTGGTGGAGGCAGTGGTTTGAGTCAGTGACGAGGCAGTGACGGAGGCAGTGACGGAGGCAGTGAGGAGGCAGTGATGGAGGCAGTGATGGAGGCAGTGATGGAGGCAGTGATGGAGGCAGTGATGGAGGCGGGGTAGGAGGCAGTGGTGGAGGCAGGGGTGGAGGCAATAATAAGTCCTCCCTCTCTCCTCCTCCCTATCTTCCAGATGCCAACAAGAGTCTTCAATAAAGGTACGTAAATGTGATTTTTAAATGTTTTTTTTTATTGTATTTTAACTCATTTAATAGTATAGTAGTTTTAAACCCTTAAATGTAAAATTATTTTTCAAATTAGTATATGTATGTTAAAAAAACGTAAATCTTTGTTCAAGTTGTTCTACGTTTTAAATTGAAAAAAATTTAAAAACTAGATTTTTTTTTTTTTTTTTTAAATTTGAAAAAATGTAAAAAACTTTGATCTACGATTTTTTTTGTTTGAAGTTTAAAGGTAAGTTACTATTTTGGGTAAAGTTAAACATAGACCTGTTTCGTACAGTTTAATTGTTTAGTACTACAGTGGACCCCGAACGATTTTAAGCCATCGACACAAAACAATTGATATTTTAAAAAAATTTTTGGATGACATTTTCCCATAGAAAAGGAAATAAATAAACCGTTGCAAGAATCCAAAAGTATGAACAAAAACTGTGTTGACATGATTTAATTCATCCCCAACTGAAAAGGATGACTTCAAGTACATGACATTACACTTTTTTGAGATTTTGGTGATGAATGATGGTAGAAGGGGCCCAAGAAAGTCTTAGTGTTAAAGGGAAAACCTAATTTTACTGAAGTAGCAAGTTAAGTCTGGGTTACGTCCTTCTCGTTAATGCACTAGGACCACTTCAAGACTCCTGACTTATATGCGCAAAGATAGCTTGTCCAAGGGCCTTTTGCAACGTTCCTTATACTTGCCTTTAAAGGCTCCAACATGTCAGTGTTAATCAACATTACGGTGTGCATAAGTGTGTGAAGGTGATATCATCAGGAAGTCTCTCAAGCAGTCATTTGAAATGCCTTATTTTATAGTAGGAACTTCGTAATTGCCTCTCCCTCTCTGAACGTTGCCAGGTCTGGCCCATTGGTTTGAAGATTAAGAATCGTAGTTGTTCTTCAATTGTCCTCACAACTCTTCCACATCCTCCCCACTGGAACCCCAAAGCTCCGAAAACTTTCCCATGCCACAATGGATTCTCAACTGGCACAGGATTCTCAGGTTAGCCTCAAAACCTTACTTCAAAACCTTTTGTCTAACATATTGCCACAGTTTCTTCCAAGCAGAGTCAAGGTCTTTTAGTACTCCCTCCCAAGCCTTTCCATAAGGTTTACACTTTTAGGATATTAAAATGCTCTCTCCAAAAAATCTCTTAGAGTCAGTTGAGTTCTGAGGTCACTCAAAGACCTTTTAAAAAAGCTTTTGTGTACATTTTTTGAATTTGCAAAACCCGCGGGCCCTGGCTGCAGGGAAAAGTGGTAATTAGGAGGCAAAAACTTCCCTTAAAAAGCTCATGTCCCCATAAAACGCTCTGCCACTTGTAGGAACAGGGGCATTGTCTAACACCAGAGGATTTAAAGGCAATTTCTTTTTTATTTGGTAATCTTCACATTGGGGGGAATGCATGGGGTTAAAAATTATAAAAAAGTCCCTAGTGCCCCTGCCTTACTGTTTGCCCTCCACAGCAACACAAATTATCCTTAGACTTCTTTTGCCTGAACGCTTGGGGTTTCAGAGTGTACACTAATAAAGGCTTTAAATTTGCAATCACCACTAGCTGGCACCATCAAAAAAGTAAGCCTGCTTTATAGGCTTATGTCCTGGGGGTGCCTTTTTCCCCCCGGTAAAGTAGGTCCCGCTTGGCTTTTTCCCAAAACAGGGCCGGTTCATCCAATTAAACACTTGTTCAGGTTTTTAGTTTCCTTTACTGTCTATGTACTCTTTAATTCCGCACATATTTTTTAGCCCCTTTGTGGGCCGAACGGCGCCTCACCCTGCCTTATCACACTATGGATGCCACACCTTCTTAAATCTCTCAAAAACCAACCCTTTGCTGGCCTTAAATTCACTCACATCATCACTATTTCAGCTTTTTTTTAATTAAATCCTCATGCAACTTCCCAGCCCTTTTTACATAGTCGTTGAGAGACGCTATCCCTGCCCGCTGTTTTTCATTTATCCAACCCAAAAGAGTCTCTCAACATTTCCCCTCATTTCGATCTTTGTTTCGAAAACACAGTTAACCTTTTGGCAAAACAGTTTTATTGTCTTTTGGTGCCCACAATAGTAGCGATGGTTATTGGGGTTTCTTGTCAACTTGATAGGTCGGCGAACCCTCCCTTATACTTTCAATTCTCTTTCTTTATTTCAATGGGAATTTTCCCCCCTTTTTGGGGTTCGGTTTGGCACTAAAAGCTTTCTTGGGCCCAGGTCCTTATTTTCCCGAAACACACCGAAAAAACGTAATAAAGAATATTCCGAGTGTATGCTTGATTTACCGCGGAGGTGGCTGGTAAACAATGGCCGGGCGGCACATGCGAGGCTGGTGAGGCCACATTGGCGCGTCCGGACAAAAAAGGGAGGGGTTTTTAAAGGTATGGCGGCAAAATTTTGCGATTAAAGTAAGCTATGGATTAATCGCTATGTATGCCACGTTATGCGGGGGCCCCGTATATGTATTTTAAACATACGAGTTAAATTTTTTTAAAAAATGTATTTTTTGGAAAACAGTGGACCCTCGACTTCGATGATCGACACTCAATAAATCCAAAATTTTATGCATTTTAACGCAAAAATTTGCCTCGACATTCAATGGAAAACCCGACATTCGATACGATTCATACGAGATGTGTCCATGTGTGGCCTGAACTGCCCCGTGTGTGCCAGTGTTTACAAGCCAGCCAGTGTGCGCGCATCTAAGGATACATTCGGTACATTCCATATTATCACTGTTTTTGGTGCTTGTTTCTGCGAATAAGTAACCATGGGCCTCAAGAAAGCTTCTAGTGCCAAACCTTCAAGAAAAAAGGCGCTAATGACTACTGAAATTGCAAAGTATGAAAGTGGAGTGCGTGTGTCGGAGCTGGCCAGGTTGTATACAAAACCCCAATCAACCATCTCTACTATAGTGAGCAGGAAAACAGCAATCAAGGAAGCTTTTGTTGCAAAAGGTGCAACTTTGTTTTCGAAACAGAGCTCACTAGTGTTAGATGTTGAGAGACTGTTATTGGTGTGGATAAATGAAAAACAGATAGCAGGAGATAGCATCTCTCAAGCGATCATTTGTGAAAAGGCTAGGCAGTTGCATGATGATTTGGTGAAGAAATTGCCTGCAACTAGTGGTGATGTGAGTGAATTTAAGGCCAGCAAAGGTTGGTTTGAAAGATTTAAGAATCGTAGTGGCATACACAGTGTGGCAAGGCATGGTGAGGCTGCCAGTTCGGACCACAAAGCGGCTGAAAAATATGTGCATGAATTCAATACGTACATTGAGGCTGAAGAATTGAACCAACAGTGTTTAATTGTGAACAAAACAGGCCTGTTTTGGAAGAAATTGCCAAGCAGGACCTACATTACTCAGGAGGAAAAGGCACTCCCAGGACATAAGCCTATGAAAGACAGGCTTACTCTTCTGATGTGTGCCAATGCTAGTGGCGATTGCAAAGTGAAGCCTTTATTGGGGCATCACTCAGAAACTCCCAGAGCGTTCAGGCAAAAGAATATCCTCAAGGCTAATTTGTGTGTGCTGTGGAGGGCAAACAGTAAGGCATGGGTCACTAGGGACTTTTTCTATGACTGATTACACCATGCATTTGCCCCCACTGTGAAAAATTACCTAATTGAAAAGAAATTAGACCTTAAGTGCCTCCTGGTATTAGACAATGCCCCTGGTCATCCTACAGACTTGGCAGAGCGACTTTCTGGGGACATGAGCTTCATTAAGGTAAAGTTTTTGCCTCCTAATAACACTCCTCTCCTGCAGCCCATGGACCAGCAGGTCATTTCCAACTTCAAGAAACTGTACACAAAATCTATGTTTCAAAAGTGCTTTGTAGTGACTACTGAAACTCAACTGACTCTAAAAGAGTTTTGGAAGGATCACTTTAATATCCTCAATTGTATAAACCTTATAGGTAAGGCTTGGGAGGAAGTGACTAAGAGGACCTTGAACTCTGCTTGGAAAAAACTGTGGCCAGAATGTGTAAACAAAAGGGATTTTGAGGGGTTTGAGGCTAACCCTGAGAATCCTATGCCAGTTGAGGAATCCATTGTCGCATTGGGAAAGTCCTTGGGGTTGGAGGTTAGTGGGGAGGATGTCGAAGAGTTGGTGAAGGAGGACAATGAAGAATTAACCACTGATGAGCTGCTAGATCATCTTCAACAGCAAGAGGCCAGACCTGAGGAAACTGCTTCGGAGGAGGGGATAGAGAAATTGAAGAAGTTGCCTACTTCAAAGATTAAGGAAATGTGTGCAATGTGGCTTAAAGTGCAA